TTAACAACGACCTCAATTCATAACACGATAGAGCGAGGTCTGTTTTTCTTTGAACGGACACTAATGCATCAGTGGCAGTGCTAAATATAAGTACGTCTGCGCCTCACTCAACACGTTTTGAAAACAGCAGATAAACAGCTGTGATGCTGAGTTTTGAGTAGTTAATTCAAGATGTAAGCAACCATTTTGAATATTTGAAAAACCAACGCAAATTTGGAAAACTTTATACCTGCACTTTTTGTACTGTGACACTGACAAAAACTTTCTATGACTATGTGCACACGGTAACGTTTTCGAGCGTTTCATGCACATTCGTTTCCCCGCCAAAACGGTTTCAAACACCGTCAATTTACAATAATAGAAGTTGAAGCTAATTTAACATATTAATTGAGCATATTTTTCCTTGGATCGTGTGGACAGGGCATCTAAACATTAAAATAGACAAAAACGATTTTGAAAACGCTCGAAAACGACGCTCGTGTCCACATAGCCCATATATGCATTGAATTTTTCTGGTTTATATATAATAGAAATAATTATTACCTAGGTGAAGGCTTGGCGATGTCTTGTTTTCCCAAACAATGAGCGAGTATAGTCTGGTGTGAACTGCACTTCTTTGTTATGTGATACGAGCAACGCTATATAGTAATAATATTAGAAATGATGTGCGCACGATGAACACCGATTTGCAACTGCATGGCGTTCAGCTCAGTGAGTGGCTGATGTCGTGATAGTTGCCTCATAAGATGACGTCTAATCGTCCTGGCACAATATCAGGGACCGGCTGTTCGAAACTCGAAAGGCGTTTAGCTTAAACGGTGGATAAGCCAAAATTCAAAAATACTCTCATACATCTTGTGAATTACTGAACCTGCATAAAAATGCATAAAAATGCATTTAATATGTACTTATTGAAAATTAAGCTATTCACATCAAAATATTTCAGCTCATTCGTCCAATTCGCTTATTCGGCATTGTAGTCTACTTTGTGTGATTAACATCCAGTAGCGATCGAGTTCCAATCCATTATCAAGTATTTACGAAACAGCATTTATCTTTACTTTTACTCCCGGGAATAGAGAATGCCATTGACAATATTTTTAGCAAAACTTGTTTTTAATACTTCAAGAAAATGCGGTTACAAGATTTCTAAGAATATGAGGACAATCATTTATTATTTTACCTCTGTAAAGGATATAACAAATTGATCGATCAATGATTACCAAAACTATTCTTACACATCTAAGTTCCTTTCAAAGTTTCTTATCTTTTTTTAATTTTGACGTTCTTAATAAAGATATAACAAATTGAACGATCGATGATTACAAAACTATTCTTACACATCAAAGTTCCTTTCAAAGTTTCTTATCTTTTTTTAATTTTGACGTTCTTAATAATACACTTAATATTCTTGCGTAATATACTTGCGGTCTACAGCAAGAGAAATCATCTCTATACCATCGTGAATTGTTGCACGGAACATACTTTTGTTGAGGAACTCATGGCTGTTTTGCTACGAAAAGTAAAACAGATTGTTTTCTTTTAGTTAAGCTCATAATCAATAAGAGATGATTCTCTCTAGTTTAAAACTGATAGACGGCTATCCTGTGTAAATAAAGTTATATCAATTATTATTTTTTGCACTTCACTCGATGCAGGTAAATTCTAGAAGTTTAAAGGGTCTTAATTTCTAGTGGAATTATACGCACTTCAAATTCAAGCCAGGAACAGTTGATGGGAAAATGGGTCAATATAGCTGACTAATTTTTTTCATCAATTGTTCCTGGCTTGAATTTGAAGTATAAATAAAGTTAGTTTAGTTTAGGTTTCCGCCTGTAGTAACACTAGATCAATAAGAGATGATCCTTATACTGGACCTCTAGGAAGAACAATTTTAAAACTGATATAGAGCTATTTTCAAACTTAATACAAGCTTACCTTTAATTAACAGTTATTTCCACCTTGCAAGCAAGTGAGAAGTTTCCAGAAGCACCGCTGTAGATGTAGTTGTAGGTTACTTCATGTTCGCCGATTTTATAGTTTCCTCGACCGTTTCTTGCTTCTGGTGGTGAGACTGAGCTCAAGGATGCTGTAGGACAATTTGGTCTAGGAACTATCCACGATACACCAGCTGTGTCTTTACCGCCAGGAAGTGCTTTATTAACCTTAACAACTTCAGGACATTGGCATTCTGAAATGGTCAATGAATATAGATAATTATAATTCGTGTATCTTCTTACGGAATATGATCTGTATATGCTCTTGCCATGCACTGACCATTGCACCGGCATCGCAAAAGCTTAGGTTCGACTCCTACCGGAGGACCTATATAGTTGACTAATCTTTCCATCAACTGTTCCTGGCTTGAATTTGAAGTGTGTATAATTCCACTCGAAATTAAAACCCTTTAAACCTCGAAAAGAAGAATACCCTGTAAACGTAACTGACCTTTGACATTGATATACACAAAGCAATTTTGTTTTCTTATTATTCTTGATCTTCTCAAATAACCGTAGGTGTATGTGATTTGGTGCTGGCCAACACCAAACCTCGAGGGGGATCTGACAGGCGGGATAACCGTTTCGCTTTGCACATTCGCCGAACGACCTGATTCGCATTTGAGACTTGGCTCAACCCAGCTTATCAAGGCCGTTTGTTCTGCGGCTACGTAATTGTCTTCCGAGGAGATCGTGTCGCATAAACACTGGCCTAAAATCACACCATCCAAAAAAGACATTGTCAGTACCCCGGATGAGAGGTTGGGCATTGTTTGGGTTATGTTGGGAAGGGAGGACTTGCCACTTATTAGGATGCTGGTTTTAATAGCGGAAAGGTTTTTTGAAAAGAAAGGATCATTAGAGAAGGAGAAAGTACTGCTGTTAAAGAGGGATGGCTTATTAGATATAAATGGTTTATTAGAAAGAGAAGGCTTAATAAAGAGGAAGGGGTTATTAGAGAGGAAGGGGTTATTATAGAGCGAGGGGTTATTAGAGAGGGAGGGCTTATTAGAGAGGTAGGGGTTATTAGAGAGGGAGGGCTTATTAGAGAGCGAGAGGTTATTAGAGAGGGAGGGGTTATTATAGAGCGAGGGGTTATTAGAGAGGGAGGGGTTCTTATAGAGCGAGGGGTTATTAGAGAGGGAGGGCTTATTAGAGAGGAAAGAGTTATTAGAGAGAGGGGGAGGGGTTATTAGAGAAGGAGAGGTTATTATAGAGCGAGGGGTTATTAGAGAGGGAGGGCTTATTAGAGAGGAAAGAGTTATTAGAGAGAGAGAGGGGGAGGGGTTATTAGAGAAGGAGAGGTTATAAGAGAGGAAGCAGTTATTAGAGAGAGAGAGGGCTTATTAAAGAGGTAGGGTTTAATAAAGAGGAGAGACTTTAGAAATGATTAAAGAAAGAGGAAAATCAGAACGAAGGGATATTATTGAGAAGGAATTATTATCAGGAAAATTTTTATTTTAGAGAACTGGCTCACTATTTTTTTTCATGATGCAGACGGTTGTAAATAGCGACATAGTATGGGTTATTTCAGTTTAGCAACACCTGACTGAATGAAATGAGTTAAATTGTCTCTAATCTTACCCGGGTCGATGCAAGAAGCATTGATGAGTTGGTCCATGATGCTTTTTAGGCTTTCCTTGTTTGCTTCAAAATATTTTCCCTCTGTTGACCAACCCCTAATGTCGTCTCTAAATCGCCTCAAAGTATATTCAGTTCCAACTGCTAGGCCGATCACGGTGACGTCTTTATCTTTCAAACTTTTAGCCATGTCATTGGCAAGCAATCCCTCCCCGTACTTCCTATGGCTGTACTTATCACCAAACGTGTCCTCTCCGCGGCCTCGGATCGCTTCACCATCCGTGAAAATCATAACAACATCCCCACGATCCCGTCGGTAATTTCTTGGACTGACAAGTGCAAGTCTCTACATGGGATAAAAATTTTTCCACTGAGCTTTAAAGGCATCAAATAGCGAACTGGAGTTACTGGTCGAGTCAAAGAGTATCATAAGGGACGCTTCGGTACACCTCGATACATTTATGTCTTGGCTCGTTACATCAAACGCTTTCCGGTGAGCAAGAAGAAGAAAGGTAAAAAATAAAGGCAAAAGGAATGTGAACAATGAAGAATCCTTTTTCAATATAACCAAGGAGCAGCGTGGCAGCGTCTTCAAACAACTTAGCATCAAATGTGGTATAAAAACTGCCTAAAATAGACAAAAACACTTCTCGACGTTTCGATCTGAGGGCCTTCGTCAGAAGAGTTAGTATGAAGGCCCTCAGGTCGAAACGTCGAGAAGTGTCTATTTTAGGCAGTTTTTATACCACATTGATGATGCTAAATCCTTTTTCAACGTTTCATAGAGGGCATTCGTTTGAGACACCATTTTCAGTAAGATCTCTTTGTAAGGCGAGAATCGTTGTTCAAGAAGACTTTTTGTTGGCCAGGTTTGCAAACGAGATCTTGCCTTCTTTACGGACAATTGAAAAAGTCAAACTGTTTCCGTACATTGGAATAATGATATAACCCTTATCTCACCTCATCAGCCATTTTTAACGCCATTCCAGTTCTTGTACCATCACCAGATATGTCATCGTATCTCAAGCTATCAAGATATGCTCGAAGATCCTGCTAGTAGGGTCAAAAGCGAAAGTCCCGTGACCAACTTTCGGCTAGTAAAGTCTGATGATTTATTTCCGTTTATTATTGTATTCTGCTCAAAATAAGCTTCTATGCCGGTCTGCAAATGATGGGGACAAATCAGTAAAGCGAAAAGTTTAAAAGCTTTCATTGGCCGCCATTTTGAAAAAAATATATTTTGGTAAATAGGCATTTTGACGGCAGAAATGACGTTTTTAGCAAAATTTAATTATCAACTACTTGAAAAGCTGCATTAAAACATCAATATGAGAAAAAAGTCGATATAGCCGTCTTTTACACCAGTATATCACAAATAAATCATTGGTACATTATAGTTATATTACATAAAGTATACCGCAATAAAACTGTTCTAAACAAGCTTTTATGTCAGAATACAGACTATTCAAGTTCATCCGACGAAGTGTCAAATTCTGAATCGTTTAAGTCAAATGATGCTTCAGATTCAGCCTCAGAATCAGAAATGTTTTCAAAAAGTTCCTCGTCTACCTTGGGCAAAGAAACCGGAAGGGAAGGCTGTGTATGGCGTACTGGTTTACAGCGTCCATTCACCAGTTCCCATCCATGACCGATAGGCGAAGGATGCGTTTTTTCTTCAGGGTGGCGCTGAATGTATGATAGGTAATTGGCTCGCATGATGTGTTGCTTTAAACTGTCCAGATCTGGAGGAAGTCGCCTCAACGATTTCTTCTTTTGTGCTTTCCATTTAGCCGCGCGGGACATGTCTAGTGATGAACTATGTGTATCACCATAGACAAAGCGAATAATGAAAGAGATGAGATCATCCAAGACGTCTGCTGCCAATGGAAGGTTCATCCCACATTTGGCAAGCAATTTACGGGCTTCGGCGTTTTTTACCAACTTTGCGTAAATTGTCGCTTTTCCGTGACCATAAAAGCAGCTATTGGAATCACATCCAGTCATCACGTGGAACGGGATTAGGCATTTGGCGATTTCTTCATTATCGCACATTGCCCTACAGCAAAGCAGTTTCTGTTTTTTCTTAACGCAGAGAATACCAGAAAACTCCCGTGAAACAGCTGCTGCTTGAACATATACATCGGTATCTGCGGCGTCTATTACCACGGGGTCGTTGTTACCCGATGCTCGCAAAGCTGCGTAGACCGAGAGAATGATAGTATCAGCTTCGCATTGATCGAAAGATAGATCTTGTAGGACAACAGCAGATGAGACGTTGGTACATTCCTTGCCAACTGAATAGATGAACACTTGATGCAAAGACTGCGCGACTTTCGATAGATACGATTTAATGAGGTTCTGAAGACGCTTCTTATTGCCAGAACTACAAAGGAATGTTTGAAACTTCTTGGCAGACGGGAACTTGTCACCTAATTTGATAAACACGTTAGGGATGTAAGCTTGTTTCTGGGTACGAAGCTCATGCTCGTCATCTTTGATGGACTCCGCCCGATCGTACGGATCGTTTATGCAGATAATAGTGGTGGAGGCAACATGGCGTGTAACGATTATATTGACAACTTTGTTGGCATAGTCGTTCCATGTATAATCAGAGCCGTCAGCTTTATCTCTTTCTTCTGCCGTGGGAGTCGCGAGTCGCCAAATCATCCCCATATCAATAAGAGCAGTGTACGATGTAAGAGTAACAGGCCGCTCTATCAATTTCTGGAGAATCTTGCTCTTCTGGGTTTTTCTAAACGTACCGTTGACGTGAAAAAGCGTCAGGCACTCCTCGGTGATACGATATTTCATAACATCACACAGCGATATCAGGCCACTAACATCAACGAGATTAACTACGGATGCCAATGCCTGGTTTTCCATTTCACCTTCATTCGCTTTACAACATTGTCCAGATTTTCTCGCTGGTGATTTGGCGAAAGTGAGACGGGAATTGCGTTTGATGCGATCATTAATGGATTTCTCTTTCGAGTACACACGTTCCTTCATTAATTCTCCCAGTTTTAACTCACCATCAAGCTTTGCTGACTTGAAATCACGGATTACTTCTGGAGCAGCAGGTATCGCCGATTGCAATGTTCGCAGATTTGGAGATGCTGGGTCAAATGGGAAACAATCAAACTCTTCGATGCATGAAACAAGATCTTGAATCGCCTGCTCATCCTTGAGCAATCGGGTTGGAGCACACTCGCTGTGTTTTCGAGATAATTCCTTACTGTTCACCTCGTTGTGAACAGCTGCACGAATGCGACCAAGATTGTTGGCATTCCTAGCATCAACCATCAATTGCTTTTCGTTTCTGAGGATGGACAGCCAACCAGCCTTTAACTTTGAACCTTTGTTCATTGTCATCTCAATCCACAAATCCCAAGGTATGGAGGAATAGGGATTACCTGTGATTGACTGGGAAAAATGTGAAGCAAAAAAATCGCTTTCATCTGGAGGTAATGACACTAACACAGCCCAGAAATGTGGAAGCCAACGACCATAGTGGGTCTGATCGTAGATTACCATCCAGGGCATCATCTTTCTGAGTGAAATCAGGTACTCCTCCCAGTTGCATGTGTGAACAGCATAAACATTCATCATCAAAGTTTCCACCATTTCCATGAAATCAAGCCAGTAACTGGCCATGTCAGTGTTTTCGATATTCTCAAACATGTTGGCAATGAGGTTGTCTATGGATGGGTCGTCCTCTAGTTCCTGGTAAGCAGTGGAAAGGATCTCTCGAGAGTTCGTGTCTGTGTTACGAAGAAGAGTTAGGCGATCCAATGTTGGAGTTTCAAGCTGTGACTCTTGAAAATAGCGTGTTAAGAGAAGATGCATAAGGGCCTCGTACATTAGCGTTAAGCAACGTAGAGCTCGACGATAATGCTTCCCTCTCAATGCTTGATCGACAGAACCTTCGACGATGATACCTGCAGCAACCAATACCTCAGCCAGCTCGCACCCTTTATGACGTTTGTATATCGTGTAAATCATAGAACACTGGATGTGGAAAGGACCGAGAAATGGAATGATTTTTCCAAATTTCTGCGGATGTTCACTCTTAATCTCAACGAGCAGTGTATAAACAGGTTGATCGCCGACAACTACTGCGAATGGCATGTTTTTTACTCCAATGGCATTGTTCACCTTGATCATAACATCATTCAGAACTGATTTCTTTGGAGGATCTGGATAGGTCATAAAATAGTACGGCTTGCTCTTTTCAACGAAATCTGCAAGCATGGCTTGTAAACCTGCAAAACCCGGAACAGTTTGTTGTTTGGGTGGGGGACGCCCTCCTTCAGCCTTACCACGAACCAACGTGTGAATCACACAACGTTTTCTTTGCGAGTCTGTACCATTAGCATTTGACTGAACTCTACTGCTGACTGGTGGTGGTTCACCACGTTTGCGAGTAATGTAGCGATCGTGTGCTACCATATCTTCCGTAAACTCTTTAATCTTGGACGACAAAACTTTTCGGTCCTTTACTCGTTCACGAGACTGCAAATCACGATGCTCAAGAGAGAGAGAGCGGTTGTACATACATAACGTTGGTACGATGAGATGTGTCGCCGCCAGTCAAGGTATCGTTTCGAAAATCATCATTGTCAACGACAATAACACCTGGCGTATTCTCTGCGATTTCGTTTGGGCATTCATTGCACAATTCGATGTCATGAACTGCCCAGGCGTCACGTAACAGTAAAACGGACGCATAATTGATTCCCAAGCCGCATTTATGGAATAAATCGACTAATTCTTTACTTCGTGTAAGTCCGTGTAAAGTCATTGTTAGATTTACTGCTGTTGTTGTTGCTTTCCCAGTCACATAGTAGGTGATGAGTGAGGCAAGGGCACGCGCTCTTACATCGTGACTGACCTGACCAGGTTTCTTAAGTGACGAAATAAGGTGGGTAAGAAGAGGCGGGAGCTCTTCTTTTTGCTCTAATTCAGCAACTTGTGGAGGCCACGGGACTACTGTCGTCTCTTTCACGTCATTCCTGAGTCTGTTGGCCACATTTTCTATGAGTTGTTCATCACTAATCCCAAGCGAGGATATAAATGCGTCAACATAGGAAACTGCACCGTTAGCATCGTACACGACTTCGCTATGGTTTTTCTGCTGTCGTTGGTGAAATCCTATGTCCTCTCCAAATTCACGTAACAACATATCCTTCACATAGCTAGATTTCACACCAGATGTTTCAAAACCGTAAGTCCCAACAATTCTCTTGTAATCACGAAGCAGGCTTTGGAGGGTTCTGATCTCATGTTCTTCAAATACAACACAACGGACATGGTCTATAAACATTGTTTGCGCCTCGCGAAATGTTACTTTGTTCAACATGACGGGCTGTTCTTCAACTGCCATTTTTTGATAGCAACCAACATATTTCAGCCAACACTTATGGTGGTACCTTATTTCTGTTGAAAAGGGGTCAGTGACAGAAACGATAAGGCGGTTTATTCGATCTCTCATGACATCATCTTGAAGTACCACGGTATGGCTTTTAAATGCGTTCCAAGCTGGTAGATATGAAATAAGAAGCCACTTTCCTGTTCGTTCCGGATGCCTTTTATCTTCTCGCTTCATGCACCATACGCAAAGATGCTTGTCATGAACAACACCAACGTTAGATCTTAGACGTTTGGGAGCAGGCGCCACCACAACTTGTTCGTCTTCCTTACAAGACGGCAATTGCTCTTCTTCGCGTTTCTTCTTTCGGTTTCTTGCTCGATTCAACTTCTCGGAACTTGATATATCAAGTCGACATGAAGCATGCATGTGTCTGCCACTGGGCCCATTTCCCCAATCTACAGTGTCATACACATTTCCAAATCTGTTCAGACCTGATTTAATTTTAAAATATAAGAATCATAAAATAGCATAATGCGTCCGTCAGGTTTTTGAAATGTAAATGGTACGGCTATGATGTAAAAAATTGTGATGTATTGTTGCCACCATGTTGAATGAACCTTTTAGTAATGAATAAAAAGCGTGACAGATAAAGCATTTTTTTACAACTGATTATTTTATAGCTATATATGTACCTTTCCAGTTTAACGCTTTAGTTTTCAGTTTTTCCCATGCTTCTTGGGTCAAGTTATCGATTGCATTTGAGGAATCACATTGTTTCCCACAATTTAGAATGCATAAAAAATTTGGGGAACTCATTTTTTGCTCTTTCGGAAAAACATTTTTAAAAAACAAGACAGAAAAACGACCAGGTTTAAATAAAAAAACAGTCAATACGTCATGTAATATAACTATAATGTACCAATGATTTATTTGTGATATACTGGTGTAAAAGACGGCTATATCGACTTTTTTCTCATATTGATGTTTTAATGCAGCTTTTCAAGTAGTTGATAATTAAATTTTGCTAAAAACATCATTTCTGCCGTCAAAATGCCTATTTACCAAAATATATTTTTTTCGGCCAATGAAAGCTTTTAAACTTTTCGCTTTACTGATTTGTCCCCATCATTTGCAGACCGGCATAGAAGCTTATTTTGAGCAGAATACAATAATAAACGGAAATAGATCATCAGACTTTACTAGCCGAAGGTTGGTCACGGGACTTTCGTTTTTGACCCTACTATGCTTCGTTTGTATTTCTCCCATCTTCAACAACACTCTTGTTTGTGCTTGTGTGCTGAATGTTATTATTCCAATATGGGTTCCGTCTGGACCAACATTTAGCTGTGGGCTGGCTATGAGGTTTTTAAGAAATGGTCTGACTTTTGTTTCGAACGTTGAGATCCCCACTGACCACGAATTGTCCCAAAGAATCCACAGGTCTTTCTTACAGTCTGAAAGATAGCCGAAATTGAAGTGTTAGCGCACTTTCTTGTCTGTACAATGCACTTTTTCACCGGAAATACTTTTGCATTCTGATTGGGTTACTGGAAAATTAAAGAAATTGGTCTAAAACAAAACTTCTCCTTGTTTTGGTGGAAACATACCAGGTTCCTTGACGACAATATTTACATGACATTGGACAACAAATGTCTGATTTTTGCCGCTGTACGTGTAGTTGTAGTGCCGCGTGTGACGACCGATGGAGAACAATTCTTTTGTTTTGTCGGGATTGGCTGCACTTGGTGTAGTAGGACACCTGGGTTTAGGTTCTGACCAGGCAAGAAAGATGTCTTTTCGCCCCTCTTCAACTTCAGCCTCCATTGTTTGTGTGCATGGACATTGACAAGCTAAATGGAAGGAAATTTAGCGATTGCAAAACACCAGGGGCCGGTTTAACGAAAGCTGGATAGCGTTATCCAATGGATGGTGATCTTTTAACAGTTGTGAAAATGCTTGAAAAGAAATAAAACTACAGATTCTGAGCTAACAATCATTAAAAATCCCCTCAATTTAAGAATGGTAACGTGTAATCAAAGTCGTGCCAAGCAAACGCTAATTTTAAAGCGACGGAAAAAACAAACCATCTTCGAAAGTGTGAGATGATTCTCAGCTAAGAGCTGTTTTCCACCGTCGCGTTTTTTGCACGTTCAGTACCTACACGCACGTAAAAGCTTAAAACCCTCTAAGTTGTTGTATAATTAATTTTATGCCAGAAAAACACGCCAAATCATCAACAGAACGCAACCCTATGCATCTATTGAATCGTCGATTTCATAAGTATCGTTTAAATGATTTTAAACTTTTACGTGCTTGCAAAAAACGCGACAGTGAAAAGCAGCCCTAATCGGGATCATGTCAATAATGAACAATTAATGTTTTAAAAAGTCACGTACGGGCGACGGTGAATTTAACAAAACATTTGGACTCCACAATTTTGCCATTACGTTTATACGAGTAGGGATAAGTAATCACGTGCTTGCCAAGTGGGAAGTTCGCAGGGGACCTGGCACTAGCTGGATCGACCTGTCCCCTCTCATAATCAGAGCACGTGAGTTCTGGTATTGACCAATGAACCAACCCTTCGAGTTCGCTGGGTTTGGCATAGGCTATAAACTCATGGATGCCGTCACCTTTGCATTTGCATTCGCCTAGAAAAAGGAAAAATCGCCGGTTACCATTGTGAAACAATGTGCACTATAGTGACTATACAGAAAAAGGATCAAACAATTGTAATTTCTTGAATTTTGTTTTACTTTCCTTACAAGAAGAAATTTTTAGTTTGAATGTGTTCGTCTTTCGTCAAACTAACCTAAACAAACTAGGGTTAAGGACATCGTCTATATTGATTTGCCCAAATTCATTTTACAGTCTTACCGGGAGACGTGCACAAAGCATTCGCGATCGATTTCGCAATTCTGTACAACTGGTTTATTATAGTTTTAAAAAGCACTGGTGACGACCACAATGTAATGGATTCCAAGGCACTGACCACGTCTTCATCGCTTCCGGGCAAGCCAACTATTGATATATCCTTCTTCTTCAAAATTCTGGTATATTCATCTACGAGTTGAATATCAAGGGCATTCTGTGCTGCGTAGGTTAACAACAAAATAACATCCTCCACATCGGGACGAAAGTTTTTAGGACTGGTCGTGTTAAAAGCCTTTAAAGAAATTATTAAATCATTGGTTGAATCAACGAGGCATCGCAAAAATAACAAATATATTTCAATTTGTCGCCCGTTTAAAGACGGAAACCATCTCTTACAATGAAAGGTCTCTTACGATAACTAAATGTGCGATGACTTTTCCTAGCCAAACTGAGAGGAAAACGCTTAACTTACATCGTTGGCAAGCTCAAGAGCTTTGTTTTTGAAGCTCGCATTGCCTCTTGGATTTTCGTCAAAATTATCGATCCACTGAATCAATTCATCTTTCTTTTTAATTCTTCCAATTGTTAACAGTTGTTTAGTCCGGTTGTCGTTGGAGAGGGTTATGAAACCAAGATGAGTGCCTTGCTCTTCCACATGCAGTTTTTCACTTCTGATAATTGCCTTAAGTAATTCTCTCACGGCAGCAAAATGCTCAGAGCTAACAGAATTCGAATTGTCCCACAGAACGAAAATGTCTTTCTTGCAATCTGAAACTGTATACGGATACGTTGTAACTGTTTGTAGCGTCATACGATGGCAATAGATAAATAATTAGCTGAAATGCCATTATTTCCAGTGGCGGTGTTCCTCCCCCCATAGTTGCCCCCCCCCCTAGAATGTCATACTATATCTATCAGTTTAATTCATTGCATCACAGATACCTATGATTAACATAAAAATGAGATATGTAACTATAGAATACGTGCACATATAGCAAACTGAACAGCAAAATAACCATGAATTGTGTGTCTACATTTGTAGAAAAAAGAAGTGAAATTCTAAACGCAATTTTAGGGCTTGATATGCATACATTAAAATTTATGTGACAATATGTTTTGCCCCCTCCTTCCCACACACAAAAAAAAATTACCTGCTAGTATATTATAATCAGGCATTCAAATTCAATATATGTTTAGGAATATATGAGTTAAAGATTGCTTAATGCTATTTGTTTTAGGAGATTGTGATAACAGGACCAAATGTGACTGTGCTTACGTTTTGTGTTGTTTTCTTTTGTGGTCATTTCCTCTATTCCTAAACATTGAATTAGAAAATTGTTGATATTCATGCATATTATGATACCCCAATATTAGATTGCCAAGAGTAATGTGAAGGGAGAATCAATACTCAATACGTTTTTTGAGAAGGTCCACTTCCAATCAAAGAATCGGGTCTTAAGGCCGTTTTCCACTTCAACCGTATCGTAGCGAAACGTAGCGTATGTAATTGTTTTAAAGTCATTAGTTCTGCTCGAAAAAGTCGGAAACAAAGCCCTACGCTACGATACGGTTGAAGTGGAAAACAGGCCTTACGGTGTAAATCATTCATACGGTATTACTATAAGAGCTGGTCTCTTCTTAGGACATCCTCGTTATGTCGTGCATATTAATAAATTATGAATTAGTCAAGTATAATACTACATGCCACGGTGAACATAGACTTTGATGGGACAAGACACATTCATCCCTCCATACAGCTTAAATATATTCTTGATTGTAGTGAGGCCAGTGGGAAAACTTTGCGGTGATTTTACGTATGGTTCCACCATGAAACGACTGAGCAGAAACTTATGCGGACAGGTGATATTCGGAGTTGCCCAGGATATTGGATCTGATATGTTCGTGTACGTTATGCGGTATATCCTTACGTCTTGAAAATGACAAATACAATCACCTTCTAATAAAAGAAAATAAAGTGCCTCAGCATTGAACTTGTATTGGATGGGAGTTACAACCGCGAAACATCACCTGCCGTAAACAACGAATCAACAATACAAAACTACGTTTATAAGTTTTATGAAACCCGTTAGATTCGTCCCATCAAGCGTTGTTATAACTTATAAAACGTCGCTTGCTTTTTCAATTTAATTAACAAAGACTGTATGGCTCAAGGCTGACGTCGTAACGACATTTTATTTACAAAACTCTAAGCCTTCAGCATACGCATTATTTGCATGCAAACAATGATAGCTAGAAATCTTACCAGTATGTGCAATTGGACACCCCTGTATGTAGTTTTCATATCTGTCTTCCAGATATTTTGCTGTCTCGTGACAACACGATGACATATTGATCATATCTTCATCTAAATAGCATTCGCTTTCCCAATGTTTTCTGTCTTTAACTAATTCAGACCATCCTGTTTTACAAAATTCAGACTCTTCTTCTCCAAAAACGAGGTTTGCGGCAAAGTAAAACATCATAACTGTCTTTAAAACCTCTTTACAGTTGCCAAATATGATTGGTTTCCTTTCCTTTCGTTTAGACTTCATCCTATATGGAAATATTTTAACGAATTGCAGCATTTGGATAACAGTTTCATATACATACAAGGAAGATTGTTGACTGCTTTCCCCCTGTCGTGTTTTTTATATTTTGATGCATGCTGATAAGGTTGGATTCTATTAAAGATTTGCTGCGTTTTTTAATTATTTATAACAACTTAACCTAAAAGATTTTATACTTTTGTGTTCGTATACATGCAAAAAACGCGACAGTGGAGAACAGCCCTTACTCCGCAAATAGCATCAGCGTTTTTTCAACTGAAATTCGCTTTTGCATATTGAATTTTACTGGTTTATAAGTCAAATAAGATATATATATATATATATATATATATATATATATATATATATATATATATATATATATATATATATATATATATATATATATATATATATATATATATATATATATATATATATAGGCTTATATATATATATATGTCATAATGAGGCTTCACGATATAACTATTGTTAATCCAGTAGCGAATGAGTATGTACTCTATAGCTTACACTGTATAGTTCTTCGCTGTGCGCTATACACTGAACATATTGTGGCGATATTGAAAACGCAGCGCAGTTGCGCCCGGTGAATTGCATCCGCTCGAAGCTTCCAGCTTAGTGAGTGGCACTTCTCATGCTAATAGCCAGAATCGATTAGAACTAATGGCTTCTGCACAAATTGAGACCTCTTTGGCCGTCAAGAGGATTACTATCCTGAGTAAAAACCAGCCTTGCATGAGATTCCTCGTTCAACTCTTCAGCGCTACATGCATGCAGCCGCGCGTTTAAATTATCTTCAAACTTGACTCAAATCCCTATGTTAACAATTGAGACAGTTCCTTTTATTTTTGAACTTCATACACATTTTATAGAATACGTCTTGCGGGCTTCATATCGATCACAATTTGGCTTCACTTTGCTTCTTTAGGCCTGGGGGGTGCGTATGCTTGTGACACCCCCCAAAATTGGTAGGGCAATGAAAGATCTTGTAAGGGCGATAAAGATCTCGGTTGATGTAGTCGCGCTTTTGGGAGTTTAGGCCTGGGTCAAACGTCGCTCTTTTCATGCGCCGAACCTAATGCAAAAGTGAAGTTAAAGTCTTTGTTTGAGCTCATTTGCATTAGGTTCTGCGCATGAGAAGAGCGACGTTTGACCCAGGTCTAAACTCCCAAAAGCGCGACTACATCAACCGAGATCTTAATTGCCCTTACAAGATCTTTGATTGCCTTGCAAATTTTGCCCTACCAATTTCGAGGCGTGTCGCAAGCATACCCCCCCCGTCACCCTCAAATTTCGCCCCTTACTAAATATTGAGCTAAAATTATGGGCATACGGAAGATGGAATATGGGCATACGGAATTTGGGCAGTTTCTACGTAAGAGGGCCCTCACATTGTTATGAGCCAATACTTTTCACTCGGCAAAGAAATACCACTGACAATATTTGAGGCAAAATTCGTTTTTATTACTTCAGAAAAATGCGGTTACAAGATCCCCAAGAAAAAAATCATCGATTTTGTCCCTTTTAAAGTTTACAACAAGTTTACCCATGCTAACAAAAATTTTCACCTACACCTGCTCAGAATTTCTAAAATGCTAGGTAGGTAGGTAGGTATACACTGTGCTTCACCGTTTCTGCCCTATTTTTACGTATATTTTCTAACTATTTGACTATCTTAGTCATGCATTTTACTTTGATTATGTGGCCAGTAAAGTTTCTTAGTTGTTTATGTTGTTTGATTCCAATGTGTAAAAGTCGACGCAATTCTGATAACGAGTATCGTAGTACTTCGGTCCACAACAATCATGATTTGGTTTGCGTTCGTGGAGCGTACCACAGCAACACACTTGATTGGGGCCCATTCCAACTCCACCACACCGTTTTCCTACGGAACGTAAAACACATTAAAGTATTTTAACAACTGTCCAAGTTGCCCAACTTTCAATGTCCTAAGAATACTTTCGAAATTCTTAAATACAGAAGTACTGCACTCTCTTGCCTTGCCGGTTCGTCACTGAGGTCAATCTATTATATTTATTATAGTACAATAAGGTTAGCTTTGTTTGAATTCCTTTGTGTATAGTAACCCTGAATTAATAATATACAGTTCCTTAACAGTTTATAGGTTTCCTTCTGTAGTAACACTGGATCAATAAGAGATGATCCTTGCTGGACCTCTAGGAAGAACAGTTTAGAACTGATAGAGCTACCAGTATAAATAAAGTTAGTTTATTTAGGTTTCCTCCTGTAGTAACACTGGATCAATAAGAGATGATTCTTACTGGACCTCTAGGAAGAACAGTTTAGAACTGATAGAGCTACCGCCTACCCAGTATAAATAAAGTTATTTTAGGTTTCCTCCTGTAGTTACACTGGATCAATAAGAGATGATCTTACTGGACCTCTAGGAAGAACAGTTTAGAACTGATAGATTTATCCAGTATAAATAAAGTTAGTTTAGTTTAGGTTTCCTCCTATGATAACTAGCAACACTAGATCAAAAAGATATGATCCTTATACTGGACCTCTAGGAAGAACAATTTTAAAACTGATATAGAGCTATTCTCAAAGTTACCTTTAATAGTAATTTCCACCTTGCAAGCAAGTGAGAAGCTTCCAGAAGCACCGCTGTAGACGTAGTTGTAGGTTACCTCATGTTTGCCGATTTCATAGTTTCCTCGACCGTTTCTTGCCTCTGGTGGTGAGACTGAGCTCAAGGATGCAGGACAATTTGGTCTAGGAATTGTCCATGATACACTAGCTGTGTCTCTACCGGCAGGAAGTTCTTCATCAACCCTAACAACCCCAGGCTGACATTGGCATTCTGAAATGATCAATGAATATAGATGATTATAATTCGTGTATCTTCTTACGGAAGCTAAGGCTAAGCTTTTCATTGTATTTTAGCTCAGATGCAATGGGTAGAAGTGGTCACAACCCGTAATACAGTCATAAATTGTGGTAAGAATTTAATACACACTTTTGTTATTGTAAAGTTCTGGCTATATAATAAAACACTATACCATTCGCTCTCGCGTCTTATATGATTGATAGCCAACTAGTACTCGGCTTCCCTCATAGGTGCTAGCTCATCAGAGGCGCCGGAAGCAGTTCAGGACAACGGGGACAACGGGGGCGGAATATGAGAAAGACGCACAGATCGTGATTATTGCATAGCCTTAGGTAAGTTTAGCTCAAATGGTTAAATTGCTATTAAACGTTTTGGCAATAACCGGCCTCTGTTGTGTGTGTGGGCTTCGTCCAAAAATCCATTGTCTTTATCGTGCACGGGCTGCGTAAACAACAGCAAAAGGATACGAAATTAAAGAGGAAATGAACCAAGTCTTCAAAGCATGCTTCTAAATCTAATCCTGAAAAGGGTTTCCTGAAGGTGCATCTAAGCCGGCTGTTTTTTCTTCATCGCCTCGGTGTAATGCACTACATTTTTTACGTTGAAGAAGGTATCTTTCAGATTTTCAAGTCGATTTTCCTTGAGTTTTTTTAACACAAAAGTGACAAAACTGCTGCTTACCATTTCATTGTACCATTACATGTAAAAATATTCCCCCCTCAGTAATTAGATGACAACCGATGAATTGAAAACTTTGTTTTAACAGAATGGAAACATATATAGCCAAAAAATATACCTTCAGCCAGTGTCTGCAACGGTTATGTTAAAATTTATGAAAGGTTTTGATATAGGTATAAAGTGCCGGTTGCAATCTGACCCAGGATAGCGAGCCAATGAAGAGTACGCAAATATTATGTAATATTTTACCCAAAAAAAGAATAAATCAATTTTGATTTTTGGCACTTCACTCGATGCAGGTAAATGCTAGAGGTTTAAAGGGTGTTAATTTCGAGTGGAATTATGCATACTTCAAATTCAAGTCGGGAACAACTAGTTGATGGTAAGTTCGATTCCTGCCGGAGGACCTATATAGTTGACTAATTTTTTCATAAACTGTTCCTGGCGTGAATTTGAAGTGTGTATAATTCACTCGACATTAAGATCCTTTAAACCTCTAAAAAAGAATACCCTGTAAACGTCACTGACCTTTGACATTGATATTCACAAAGCAATTTTGTTTTGTTTCTTTTGTTCCTCTCATATAAGCGTAGGTGTATGTGATTTGGTGCTGGCCAACACCAAACCTCGAGGGGGATCTGACAGGCGGGTTAACCGTTCTGCTTTGCACACTCGCCGAACGACCTGATTCGCATTTGAGACTTGGCTCTACCCAGCGTATCAAGGCCGTTTGTCCTGCGGCTACGTAATTGTCTTCCGAGGAGATCGTGTCGCATAAACACTGGCCTAAAATCACACCATCCAAAAAAGACATTGTCAGGACCCCGAGTGAGAGATTGGGCATTGTTAATGTGAGGAGAAAGGGCTTATTAGAGAGGAAGGGGTTATGAGAGAGGGAGGGCTTATTAGAGAGGAAGAAGTTAAAGAGAGAGAGAGGGGTAATTAGAGGGGGTTGTTATCAGGACATAATTTATTTTAGAGAAATGACTCACTATTTTTTTTCATGATGCAGACGGTTGTAAATAGCGATATAGCATGGGTTATTTATTTCAGTTTAGAAACACCTGACTAAATGAAATGAGTTAAATTGTCTCTAATCTTACCCGGGTCGATGCAAGAAGCACTGATGAGTTTGCTCATGATGCCTTGTAGGGTCTCCTTGTTTGCTTCAAAATATTTTCCCTCTGTTGACCAACCCCTAATGTCATCTCTAAATTTTCTCAAAGTATATTCAGTTCCAACTGCTAGGCCGACCACGGTGACGTCTTTATCTCTCAAACTTTTAGCTCTGTCACTGGCAAGCAATCCTTCCCCGTACTTCCTATGACTGTACTTTGCACCAAACGTGTCCTCCCCGCGACGTCGGATCGGTTCACCATCCGTGAAAATCATAACAACATCCCCAACATCTGCTCGGTAATTGTCTGGGCTTGATAGGGGAAATTTCTACATGGAATGAAAGTTGTTTTGAGTTTTGATGCACCTCTCAAGGCCTTAGGAGTTTGAAAACGACACGTCATGTTGTTAAAATTTGAAGCGTTTTTAGCTGTTTTGTATTTGAAAAATCACTTTAGACACTTGAATGACTGCAACTTCATTTCTTCCGAAAACTCCCGCTTGACTATCGATTTAGCTATAGCTAGCTATCCAGTCTCTTCTATCGATATTTAGTATCAAATTTCGAGGTGACTCGAGGTTGTTAAAGTTCACTATCTCTGAAATGAAATACTGTAGTACATGAAGTATACATCTTTTGCGCTAAAAAGTTTTAAGGAATTCGGAGTGAATTTGCTGCATATTGCTCACCTCATCAGCCATTTTTAACGCCATTCCAGTTCTTGTACCATCACCAGATATTTGGTTGTATTGCAAGCTATCAAGAAAGCTTTCAAGTTCCTCCTTCGTTTGCTTTTCTCCCATCTCCAACAGCACTTTTGTTTGTTTTTGTGTACTGAATGTTATGATGCCAATATGGGTTCCGCCTGGACCAACATTTAGCTGTGGACTGGCTATGAGTTCTTTAAGAAACGGTCTGACTTTTGATTGAAACGTCGCGACCCCCACAGACCATGAATTGTCCCAAAGAATCCACATGTCTCTCTTACAGTCTAAAAAGTTAAGCTGAGCGTTAGCACTGTAAGGAAGAGTACAGTAGATCGAAAAGATTATATATACAATATACAATGACGACGATTACAATTTTATTGGGGTTTTATTTGACGTCATAGATCTCTGTAGTGCTCAACTCAAACTCGAAACTTGTGCACATGATAACGGGCGTTTTCACATTCCTTTTCATGTCAAAACGGTTTCAAAAAGCAATTTGTAATTGATAATTGTGAAAAAAGTTCTTGCCAAAGCGATTTCAAATACCAAAATATCAATTTACAACATTGAAATTGAAGCTAATATAACATTTTAAGCATATTTTTCCTTGGATTGTGTAGACAGAGCGTCTAAACATTAAAATAGACAAAAACGATTTTGAAAACGTTCGAAAACGACGCTCGTCTGCACATAACTAATAATTGTGAGGTAGTGTTTCGCTGTGTGTTGACTTTGTGGTTGGTTGCAAATATGTACAATTTTGTTTCAATGGCTTCTCCTTTGCTGCAGAATATTATAAACATTTCAGGTACACCAACCACTTAAATTCACCCCCCCCCCCCCCCATGGTCACCAATGGTCATCACAATACGGGGGCAATACATAGTACCGGATCTCACTCCCCTTTGGGAAGGGGGGATAATTCATCCTCATAGCTATTGTATGCGGTAAAACACTCCGAACATACCTGAGGAACTTCCACCACCTCCGTTATCGACTCCTGGGACTCCCCGAGCCCACATTCTATCCAAATCTATATTGAATGAAAAAGCGGTTGTCAATCAAAGGATATTAGACCGCATTGCATCACACTATGTATGGTCGGGTTTTTCAATATCACAGACAATATCTGCAACTATATATTTGCCTGTTTTCCAAATGTCCTTGAGATACACGCCAATTATTAATATTATACGGTGTTTAATTCGACAATTTTTAGGGAGGATTACTGCAGTTTTCGATCAATTAGTTTCACCACAGCATTCTCGATTTTTATAGCTGACTATTGCAAGCCAAAGCGATATACGCTTATATCTATAGACAGAACAAGCTCTGAATGCTTTAATATCAACATTTTTTCATTAAAAAGGTTAGCGGTTGCGGTTTCCAGCATAAATGTTCCTTGCCATGCAGTTGCAAACTTTACTTGGATAATATTGAGCGCTATGTAAAAATTCGCAAATCATAAATATATAAGTTCGCCTTTTAATTTCGACATACGCACAAATAGCGCCAGGACTTTTCAGCTAAAGCGAAGACTGAATTATAGTTGTATAACGGCCAATTCAAGGAATCAAGGTAGCTATACTATACATTAATTTGACCATTGCGAGGTCACCATCGAGGACAACATACGTCCCTTCAAACTTTATACGCGAATAAGAACTGGAACGTTTTAAAGCATGTTTTGTGACCAGGGACATCTTAAAACTCAAACCAAGCTATCAAGGATTACTTTCTTACCTTCCAATTCATAGTCCACAGTGTAGGCTACAGCGCCGAGAACGCTAAGCGTTAGGACAAACAAACGCAGCATCTTGTTGTAAAGTTCCGTTGCTTTTTGAAGCTCTTCTACCAAGTCTTCATGAACGAGTGATGCTAAGTCTCGAAGCTGCGTGATTTTATACTCGCTGTTTGCGTGGAAACCGCCTTTGACGAACCGTCCTTGCTGTCCGCGTCACAACGAAATCTCGTTACATACATGCACTTGTCTTGATTGACTTGTGAAGTGACGCTTGGATATTGAGGAGCTATCGCCAGTTTTGGGATCGTTGCGGTTTTGTGACGGATTTGGCTTGGTCGAACCCTGTTTGTTTACGAGCCGAAACCGTTAAACATAACGAATGAGCTCCTTCGATTTTAACGTATTAGGTGATGCTTGTGAAAATCGATTTTTTTCATGAAATATTGCATTGATATGATTTCGTGAGTATGGGGCAAAAACAGTCTGAAAATTCGCAATGCAAGACTGTTAGTTGTTTTTGAAGGAAAGCGTGGGACGTCGAAGCCTGTTGTTCGCTTAAATATTTTCAGTTTGCCGTTTGAACAAAATATATTATTATATAGCAAATGTTCTTTCGAACAATTCGTTCAATAACATGTTTTGTCATTGCTTGTTTCTTTCGATAAAATTGGCAATGTGCAAAATCGTTACTTCGAAAAGCAAGCCTTGGAGATTGGTCATTTTCGCCTTAGAATCAATAAAAGCTCGTTGCCAAGTCTAAGATCACTATATGTATGTCTCAAATTATCGCCAATGACGTGAATAAGACTGTACCAGAGAAAGTGTACTTATAACGTATATTTGCCCAACACCTAAAACGCCTGAGTAAAAAAAAAGAGCCCTTCGTGGGTGAAGTGTGTTTATATAACCATCATTTTGAACTTAGATGACAAAGTATAATTTATCGTCTGGAAAATCTGCATGAAATTGATTTGATAAAAGAAACTTTGCTCTGAAGAGCAACGCGAGCTTCGTTGACTTGCATGGAAGCTGAAATTTGTCTCGTAACTTGACATGAAAACGAAATAGGTTACAGTTTCAACCGCATGCGTTCGAGAGGCCTTGATTTTTCAGTGAGTCAGGCCTTGAACTGGGCAATGATGCCATGAATTTGCTATATCGGACAGGAAGTGTGCATATCGAGGTGAAAATAATCCACTTCATTTTCAACGATCCTTGACCGCGAATTTACATAGAGCTACAGTTCATATTGATCCTTGGATCTGAACTTGAATATCTTTTGAAGCGAAATTGCTGAGTCGATTTTGCGATCAAACAACATTATGTGTGCTTAGTCGGGTTATTAGGAAGGTCGAGATTTTTTTGAGAACGCGAACTATTTGCGAACAGCAAACTTGCAATCGTATTTCAAAGTTAAAGCTGGCAGAGAATAACTTATGTATAAACACCCATCTTGTAACTTTTATTACATCAAGTGCCTCTTGGATTCGGTTGAAACAATAATCATTTGCATATATTCTTCGTTGGGAAAACCGTTGAAAAAAACGGAAAGGGATTCCCTGTTTAGCTAATGCATTAAGCGGGTGAATGATAGCTGACAGCAATCAGTTCTGCTAACTCTCAAATGCTTTTGAAAGACTTTCGACACAGAATTCATTTTAATAATTGAATTTCGTTTCAAGTCGTGGTGTAGCTGGCTAAGGCGATGAGTAGCGAAATATCCTGAACAGTTGTATTGGGTCAAGCTGTGTAGCAAGTTCGGTACAGGCCTTTTAGTCTGGCAATAATCGGGACTTTTGCCAGACTTGCTGTCTAACATGCCAATATCGCAACGAATCCTCTTTCCCGGTAATGATTTTGATAGCACAAAAAAAGCCGAATGAATGAATTTACCTTATAGTGCATGCTCGCGGCTACTGTTCAAGGGATACCGCTCACAATCGTTGCAGTCGTATTAGGCGTGACATATTCGCCGGGCCTTGGGAACAAGGCATTCGAGGTTGTTTGCAAGATGTTGATTTTGCGGTCTCTGCACCTGTGACGTAAGCTTTTGCAAACCTTCCAAAGGTCGGGAAAATTCGATGCGTCTTCTTGCCAATATCTGTGACAGCCCTTGTGCGAGGAATTTAAAAAATGCGCATTGAGTTCAAAGTACTGATCTGAATGAGTGAAGGTGCGTTTACGCGATCCAATTCACTTCTGACATACGAAATGTAGTTTGTTATTGATAAAGCAATACTGCATTGGTTTTAGTTGAATTATTGTCCATATACATTACAAGACAACGGACTATAAACCATCCTTCAGAAGTGAATTGGATCTGACGAAATTGGATGGGGTTACAGATCTTTACAAAGCACCAATTCATCGTAATTTTTATAGTTTTTTAAGACACAGCTAAAATTATCACGAACAAGTTAATCTCTCTGCTAAAGTTTATAATGTCAAAGTATTTATATTTTTTTCCATTGCACTTAGAATCACATTCATCACGTTTTGTCAATCAGGTTTTATTCCACTTCGTCTAAGTTTGCAGTAAGTCTACAACAGCGCAAGCAAATGCATGGTCAATTACTATATACGGCTTTATGGACAGTTCATAAGCTTATAGTAAAAAGGCTTAGGTTAAATGTTCGCATTTCAACCTACTACAGCACTTTGTCTTGGCCAAAATTAAACCGGCTGCAACAAACCAATTCGGCATACACGCCTCAGCCATTCTTTGTTTTAGTATATAGTTAATATATGTTTGAACGTAATATAATGCTTCAGTTTTCTAGACTGGAAAGACTCGAAATGAATTTTGCCGTTTGCAGCTTGAAGTGTATCGTAAGCACTCAGCTAAAAGTCTCGAAAGGCGTTCGGTGTATTGAGAAAATGTTGGATCTAGACCTAAATTGTTCATCTCTTTGTGACCTCTTCCATAGTATAATGAAGGTTGAAACTTGGGAGGACCGACTTCTGTCTCGTGAGATCTGGGAGCTCTACACTTGCAGCTGTTTACATTTCTCTATCTCCTGGCGGAGAACATGCACAAAGAAGATGACGTGGACAATACACGCGAGGCTAGATTCAGGGGCCAGTTGTATGAAAGCTGGATAGCGCTATCCACCAGATAGTGACTTTTTCTCAACCGTTCTAAAAATGCTCGAAAGTGTTAAAACTTCATTTTTGGAGCCAACAATTACTAAAGAGGATCCTCGATTTAGGAATACTAAGATTCAATCAAAGTTACAGCCAACAACGGGCGATTTCAAAGCGATTGAAAAAAACGATATCAGGTTGGTAGCGCTATCCGACCTTCGTAAAATCAGCCCCAGATGGGAAGCGATAGTCTTCCCTTCCTCCAAGCTCCAGGATTGACAATTGCGCATGATGCCAAATGTATTTGGCCTAAATGAAACTTGATGATGAATAGGGAAAAACGTGGCCTGTGAGAGGAAACGTTATTTCGTTTATCGCATTAAGGTTCACACGATCCAATTTTGCGTATCCAATTGACTTCTGACGTATGGAAAGTAGTGTGTACTGGTAAAAAGGTACTTCATTGGGTTTACTGGATTTGCTCTCCGTGCACGCAATGCAAGTCAACGCACTATAAAACATCCGGCAGAAGTGAATTGGACTCGATAAAATTAGATCATGTGAACTGGGCCCGGTTGTATCAAGCCCGTTTAGCTTAAACGGTGGATAAGTCAAAATTAAATAACACTCTTACATCTCCCTTGAATGAGTCAACTTGGATGTTATGCACTGAATTATGTAGTTGTAAACGGTATCTTTGTATTAAGGTTAAAAACATTTAGTTTGCTTGTTGAATAAAACGATAGACTTGCTTTCTATTTTGAACTTAACCACCGTTTAAGCTAAACGGGGTTGATACAACCGGCTCCAGAGGCAGGTTGTTCGAAAGGCGTTTAGCTTGATAAGCCAAAGTTTAAAATTCCTCTCATACATCTTGTGAACTGACTGAACCTGCATCTTATGCATTAAATATGTACTTCCATTGACAATTAAGCTATTTACATTGACATATTTCAGCTCAGTTGTTCAATAAATATATAGTTTCGTTTTACATTTTGAACTTATCCACCGTTTAAGCTAAACGCCTTTCGAACAACCGGCCCCAGACCTTTAGCGAGGTACAGATATGCAGATATGACTTCCAATTGATAAAGCTAAATATCACATTGAATAGAGCGTCTGAACAACGAGAGGATATCAGATCTCGGCCGCCGAAACCAGTACAAAGGTCGTATACGATGCCAAGTTTCTTTTCTGATTGATGTTCGCTTTCAACTGGAACCATGTTTATTATTGACCGCCTCTTATACCATATTCTAATGATTACGCAGAGCTGCGTGTTCACGATATACCCTCATGACTCATGAGAGTGTATGAAACCACATCATTCAACCGCAGGAATTTGAAAACGAAATGTGAACAGTAACAGTAGCGTTGAACCCTGAACCAAATTCTGCACTGCTCGACACAGCAACCATCATCATATTATTCGACCAAAAACCGCAAATAGAAACAGCATTATCGTTAAAAAGCGATTAAACTTGTTTTAAATATTAAAAAAATATATACTCGAGAATTCGAGAACTGGAACAGAACGAAATTTGCCCAGTATTCAAATATACAGTTGGAAGCCGTAAAGATTTCCTGCATGGCTGGGAGGTTTCCGAACCAGGATAGTCTGATCGGCGTACTGGTTGATACATCACAAGTTCCAGTTATTTCGATATTAAAACCTTTCTACCTTTCTGCAGGGCCATAACTAATCGCTATGAATTAGTGTGGAGTGCATATTCAAATATACAGCCTTTTAACAGAGGGACATATTTTAAAAACAACGGATATACTATGCCTCCTCGACTTCTTCCAATTATGGATTATCGCACTCATAAACGGTTGCCTCGCTGAGCTGAAATTCGAAATACGCATCTGACTGACTATAACACAACTGTCCAAATTTTCTCCAATTCATGTTAATTTGTATTGGAATTTGACTATCTAGTTATTGCTTCCTCAACCGCAATATCCCTATCATAAATCACGTTTTATAAATAGCTTAGGTACCGTTTGATCGACTGACAGTATTGGCAAAATACACATATATGTCAAGGCCAACACCATATTCTGTCTAGTCTTGAAGGCGAACGCAAAGAGGACCAATATTTTCAAATTTAAATAATGAAATTTGACAGAGGTCGTTGTAACGCCACTCAAAACAGACCGCCTCTTTCGTGTAACGAATTTTAACCGCAATTGACGCTGAATTAAGGAGATGTTTTGATGGCTTTTCAGTAATATCACCTGAAAATTTAAATATGTCCATTATAGGAAAACCATGCATGCAGCAAGTTCGGGTGTTATTGCTTTTCTTTTTGTCAAAACGTTTCACCGCAATTCACGATTAAGATGCCTTTTCAATATTACTCGAAGATCGAAAGATGTCCATTTTCACCCGTTCCGCGTGTTCTAAATCACATATATTGAGAATTCTAAGTTTTAGAACATCGGATATATGTGACATGGGATGATCATCTGAGCCATCTAACACGTTCGCTGTTTGCTGTACTGGGAACGAGTTATTTTGTAAGCGCACAATTAGCATGCATATACGAGCGTGTATACATTCTCACGCGCATTCTTGCCCACTGTATATTGCGCTTACCTCTTGGACTCGTCAAAATTTCTAAATATTGCTGATGGCCACTAATTTTAGAAGCTACAACAATTTGACGGATGATCAAAAGATCATTCTTAGGGCGTTTTATGACAATGGAATGAACACGACGGCAAAACATATGCAGGAAATAATACTGAGAGCTGCTGAACAAGCTGGGGCAACCTACGACCAAGTAAAGGTATGTACTTCCAAAATACCTTAAAATATATAAATATAGGATGCCTTGTATTGATTGGAACTTGACATGAAGTTCAAAGTATGTATATGAGCCAAAATTGTTATTAGACATTTGCGATTTTGACGTCTAAATAAATAATTTGCATTTTCAAAATGGCGACTGAAAGTTTATAAACTAATAAAGGCTTTATAAAGTTTATAAGGACTGTCACTGTTGTCAGTATTATGTGAACCAAGAGTCAGATACTTTATCTTTGGCGTTTTTAAATTTCCGAGTATTATACATATAGTACCACCTGGGTAGGTGTAAAGTTGTAAACTGTATTTCACAGTTGATACTGAAATTTTGTGTAGAAATGGATTGGAAATGAAAAAAGGAAGAGAAAGCTAGGTGAAAGTAGGACAGAAGAAAACAAGCATGAAGATTCAGATGACAATGTACTAAGAATAGGTCCTCCACTTAAAAGAGTAGCATCTGGCTACAACATATTTTCATCAAGCATGCTAAGTTCAGGTAAATATTAAATGCTTCCTTATCATCAGCAAAAATGTCATATACCCTTATCCATCCTTTATTTAACGCTCCTCCAGCAGTTTCTGCCCTCTAGCAACCCTCCCCTCACAGGCCTCAAAATAATGTTGGTCGTTATTCCATTATGTCTGATTAACTATGTATAAAAGTTACCAGTCGTGAATGCTTTGATAATGCTTTGATCAACTGTTAACATTTTTAAGTTATTACAAAATACTGTTGTTATAAAATTCAAATTACTGTTGTTATAAAATAACAGCTTGTTGCTTTTTGTTAAATGTCATTAATTGCATTATTGTAGGTACCCAGCTAGTCTAATACATCTTATATATGAAAAATATTGTTTCTACTACATAGCTTTTTAATCAATTGTTTTTGCTTTTTTACTCTGATCACAAGTATGTCCAGTAAGTGAGTGAATCTGCCAGTGAACCTGCAAAATTTTATCTGTCAATAAACAGTGACTGGTGCCTATTTTTTGGGCCTGCCCTCTCAGAAACCATCAGAAAGATATAAGCCTTAAAGCCCTACAGTACAACATCTACCAATATTTACCAGTGAAATCTAAGAGTGTCTTATCCAGACCAGAAGTTACAAAGACAGTTGTATAGTACTAAAATCATTCATGCTATTATGATGTTTACAATGAAGAAATGCAGTTTAAAATCACTTGCACTTGATTGAATCACTAGTACAAATTATTAGAGCCTTCAGTTACAAAAGGTTTCTGAATTTGACTTGTGCATGTTCACACTTTGCATCAAATGTTTGTGGAAAGTGATTGAAATTGGCTGTTCTGTAAATCACTATCCTTGGCTCAATTACAAAAATTCATGTTATATTGCAATTTGTTCTGTATTGCATTCTTTCACTGTTGCCTGATATGAAAAATATCTTTCTGACTTTCAAATTCCAGAAAGGACTCTTCAAATTCCTCTAATGGTTTTGGTAACACATAGCCCCACACTTTAGATATAGTAGGTAGTTAAGGTATGTAATATAGGCCCCTGGGGGCTAAATTGAGAAAATATGGTACCTTGAAATATAGAATGATTCTTGAATAAATGTCATAAATGTTATTTATTATTCAGCAGAACAAGAACCATATGTGCATATTCCTACTCATAGTTTTCTGTGACTTTGTCTGCAATTTTTCATTAACCCCTGGAGGGGACATGGAGGCTTAAACATTTACAGCTTTTTGCAATCAGTTGGAGTACCTTCCTCAACGATTCTCAAACTTTTAATGTTCGGCTAGAATTTGAACCCATGCCACTGGCTTTTGTATAAACAAATTATACACTCCATCACATAAAAAATATGACAAATTTCCTGGAATAACAAGACTAGTATATGCCAAAGTTCAAACACTTTTATTTAATATGATACTCACAGAACATAATTTTATTTGTTATTGAGTTTTGCTTACCAAAATTTAGCAGTCAACTGGCTGTTTTATCTGCCATACAAGGAGTCAGGCTGCAATTCTAAGTATAATCTGTTTTATACCTCTAATTTATGTATGTGTCCCCTGCATCTGTTTAAAATAACAATGAAGTTAATGTATATGTTTAACTGCATTATGTTATAGACTTGTGCAAGGCTATTGATTCAAAATCGGAGAAAATGAGATTTGTTTCGTCACAATGGCAAGCTCTTAGTGCTGAAGAAAAGAATGATTGGAAGAGCAAAGCCAAGCAGGTTGACAGAATACGTCCACTAGAACTGGAGAAGACGAAAGACGAAAACACATTACCAAGACAAAAAAAAATCTCATGAAAGAGGTATGTAAAGTAGATGAAGAATAAGGAATATGGTCAATTAATTCACTGCTTGCATTGCTTCTCAAGATGGTGAGGAGACCCAAGTGGTAAATTTCAATTCAATTTATGAAGACTTTTTTTTAAAGATTTCTTATCTGGAAACCTGGGATGCGAGGTGGCTGTTGTGATGATAGAACCAAGTGGGAACATCAATCAGCATGGTTCAAACAAAGGTGTTCAGTTTCTCATGCAAACGAAGCAGTGGCAATAAAGTTCATGGAATTCTTTGGTAATTTATTAAAATGTACTTTAGATTAATTTAGCTTATGCCTATCATACAATAGTGACTCCAAACAAAATAGGCGTTTTACCAATTCAGAAATTCAATTTTATACATAATAATCAATTTTCAATTTTATTAAAATGTTGAAACATTCAAATTCCTACTTTATTAAAAGTTGACATGTAGAAGCCCAGTAATATACGGTAATTTACGGTAATTTATTAAGTTTGTACCTTACAATTTTAAATACAATGCAATGGAGCATTTGGAAAATTGATTGACTATATATATTACCTGGAGTTTCCAGTGTGTTTTGTTTGTACTACTTTTGTTGATACTGTATTGTTGGTGTCATAGTTGCTGTAGTGTACATGTAGTAAACTAGTCACATTAATTCCACAGATCGCCCGGCGGAAGAAACAACATACCCGTGCCGATGTCCAGAATCTGTTCAACGAGAAATATAGTAAGTGTTTTGTATAAACCACACTTATTTCCAAAATAATGATCGCTTGTGTGAGAGAGGATTGCCTACACGTGTGTACTGCTTGTAGATTGATATCTTACCATGGCTTTTAATTATTTATTTTGTATTGATGAACTAAAATATAGCTAATTTATAATTTATATGTTTAAGGGACTTTTGTTTGGTCATAATGGAGTAGTAAATACAATCATTGACAAAAATATTGTGACGAGCCGTCGCCCCCCCCCCCCTCCCTCAACCACACCCTTCCCACACACCTCCCTCACCAACACTTCCAAAGAGAGAGCGTATTTTTGAAATGTGAAGTCATCAAATTATTTTGCCTTATCTATTTGAAAGCTGTTACCTCAAAAAGTTTCCGACAAAAATTCTATCACATTGCCCGCTATTTCTTTCGGCTGCTAGAATGTATTAATTTATGTGCAAACCGGACCAAACCAACAACTGCAGTCTAATGGAATCCTGGTAGTCGCATTTTCCGTTACCAACTATGAAAGGTGTACATGCATGGTTTGAAAAGGCCCCTTTAGTTTCAAATTAGAACAGATCTCATGTTACACTACGATGTTTATATCCATCTAAAATAGGTTCTTACCCAGGAACTGCCCGCCTGTATTCTAAAAGCTCACTAACACTCAAACTCATTGAGTGGGAGATCTTAATCTTCTCATAACGTTTCAATGGCGGTATTTCCAGCCGAACAGGGGCTTGATTTTCAGTGATTTACCTTATATCTTTCCATCTGTTCAGAAAAAAACTTTCTCATTGATCAGCATTAACGAAATTTATATGTCACACTCGATGAGTATGAGTGTGAGTGAGCTTTTTGAATACAGGCGTAAGTCTCTTCTAGTTCACGTCCAATCATCATGAATTTCTCAATAACTCACAGTTCTTTGCTTTAGTTCTCTATTTGTGCAAAACCATCTCATAATGATGTTCAATTACTGTAGAGAGTTAAAATTTCAGATCAATTGAGAGATTGGAAGTGTACGATGAAAAAATAGGCTTAGCTTTTCTAACTTAGGTGTAATTATAAGGTGTCAGAGCAGATCATGCGTAATTGAATTCAAACTTCACGAAGGAATTACTGCTTGAAACTTTGCACAACTATTTGTATCACAAAAATTCTACACAGTTAAAATTTCAGCTCAATTGAGCGATTGGAAGTAGGCGATGAAAGAATAGGCTCAGCTTTTCTAACTTAGGGGTGTAATTAATATAGGGTGTCAGAGCAGATCATGCGTGCTTGAATTCTAACTTCACGAAGGAATTACTGCTTGAAACTTTGCACAATTATTCGTATCACAGAAGATGATACACAGTTAAAATTTCAGATCAATTGAGAGATTGGAAGTGTACGATGAAAAAATAGGCTTAGCTTTTCTAACTTAGGTGTAATTATAGGGTGTCAGAGCAGATCATGCGTGATAGAATTCAAACTTCACGAAGGAATTACTGCTTGAAACTTTGCACAACTATTTGTATCACAAAAAATTCTACACAGTTAAAATTTCAGCTCAATTAAACGATTGGAAGTGGGCGATGAAAGAATAGGCTCAGCTTTTCTAACTTAGGGGTGTAATTAATATAGGGTGTCAGAGCAGATCATGCGTGCTTGAATTCTAACTTCACGAAGGAATTACTGCTTGAAACTTTGCACAATTATTCGTATCACAGAAGATGATACACAGTTAAAATTTCAGATCAATTGAGAGATTGGAAGTGTACGATGAAAAAATAGGCTTAGCTTTTCTAACTTAAGTGTAATTATAGGGTGTCAGAGCAGATCATGCGTGATAGAATTCAAACTTCACGAAGGAATTACTGCTTGAAACTTTGCACAACTATTTGTATCACAAAAATTCTGCACAGTTAAAATTTCAGCTCAATTGAGAGAATGGAAGTGCGCGATGAAAGAATAGGCTCAGCTTTTCTAACTTAGGGTGTAATTTAATATAGGGTGTCAGAGCAGATCATGCGTGCTTGAATTCAAACTTCACGAAGGAATTACTGCTTGAAACTTTGCACAATTATTCGTATCACAGAAGATGATACACAGTTAAAATTTCAGATCAATTGAGAGATTGGAAGTGTACGATGAAAAAATAGGCTTAGCTTTTCTAACTTAAGTGTAATTATAGGGTGTCAGAGCAGATCATGCGTGATTGAATTCAAACTTCACGAAGGAATTACTGCTTGAAACTTTGCACAACTATTTGTATCACAAAAAATTCTGCACAGTTAAAATTTCAGCTCAATTGAGAGAATGGAAGTGCGCGATGAAAGAATAGGCTCAGCTTTTCTAACTTAGGGGTGTAATTAATATAGGGTGTCAGAGCAGATCATGCGTGCTTGAATTATAACTTCACGAAGGAATTACTGCTTGAAACTTTGCACAATTATTCGTATCACAAAAGATGATACACAGTTAAAATTTCAGATCAATTGAGAGATTGGAAGTGTACGATGAAAAAATAGGCTTAGCTTTTCTAACTTAAGTGTAATTATAGGGTGTCAGAGCAGATCATGCGTGATTGAATTCAAACTTCACGAAGGAATTACTGCTTGAAACTTTGCACAACTATTTGTATCACAAAAAATTCTGCACAGTTAAAATTTCAGCTCAATTGAGAGAATGGAAGTGCGCGATGAAAGAATAGGCTCAGCTTTTCTAACTTAGGGGTGTAATTAATATAGGGTGTCAGAGCAGATCATGCGTGCTTGAATTATAACTTCACGAAGGAATTACTGCTTGAAACTTTGCACAACTATTTGTATCACAAAAAATTATACACAGTTAAAATTTCAGATCAATTGAGAGAATGGAAGTGCGCGATGAAAAAATATTAGCTTTTCTAACTTAGGTGCAATTATAGGGTGTCAGAGCAGATCATGCGTGATTGAACTCAAACTTCACGAAGTAATTACTGTTTGAAACTTTGCACATCTATTCTTATCACCAAAAATGATACACAGTTGAATCAACATAATAATTACTTCAAATTTCTTAATTAATTTAACTTGTAGGTACCCCACGTAAGTATTTAACACTGCATTAAACTTGCTGTATTTTAAAAATACTTAGGTGGTGCACTTACACAAGCTAATTTAATTATTGATGTCACCAAGCAAACATACAAGAATATTATTCAAATTTCTTATTTAAAAAACAACAGAGCTATATTCACCAACAAGAGACTATCACTTCAAACACAGTGAATTTTGAGCAATGAGGATGCAGGAAAAATCAATAGTCACCTGGAAATTTATACTAAAGCGTAATATGCGAGGGACAAATTATTTCAATTGTTTTAATAATTTAATTTAATATTTGTTGTTATATAATTTTTTAATTTTTCTTTTAATAAATTAAAACATGCATGTTTCCACACATTAGACGGAGACTATGCTTGTGCACAAAAATAAATCAGATTGTATAGACAAGATATATAATTAAAAAACCTATTATGTACATCAAACATCATGCAAAATGATACAGAGAGCTTTGCATTTATTTAGAAATCCATTTCAGATTCATCTTCAACCTCGTCATCTGAACTGTCTAAAATTGACAATATCTCATCGTCCTGTTCTTCACTCTGTTCCCTTTGGTCATCTAGTTGATCCAAGTTCTCGAAAACGTGTTTGGTAGAGGGCATGGTGCTTTCATGACTCCATTCGATTTTTGGAATGGACGATGATACATTATCTGGTAGGTGATTGCCAAACGTTGCACCAAGAACAATTAGTTTGTTTTCCTCTTCCAGAATCTTTCTTTGAAGTATGCACCGAATTCCTCGAATGAGTACGGTTGATGACGAGTCATTGTTGTCCTTCAGCCATTCTAAAAAACTTGACTTTTGGGTTTGGTGATACGTAACAAGCCTACACATTTCAGTTTTCAAATAACTTGTTTCCTCCTTGCATCTTTCGATGAAATTATGCAAATCTATTGCGCTTTTCTTCACAGAATATGGAACTTGATCCTCACTCAAAGTGCTTTCTCTGAAATCCTTATATAGGTCGGATTCTGGATCTTTTACCTTGTCAAACTCTAGCTCTTCTGGCAACCCAGTTACATTGTCTTTCCAAGCAGCAAGGCTAGCGTTGTACTTTTCAACAACTACTTTAGCAGAATTCGTCCTTTGTGTTATCTGCTTAGAAACTTTCTCTGCAATTGCTTGGCC